CTTGCCATACCCCCGACAAAACTATGCCAAGCAGTACGCACATATCCCCACTGATTAGGCCTGTAAAGTTTCTGACGCAACACTTTTTATTTACATTTAGAAAGTTGAATGAAAGGTTTCTGATCTGATGCTCAGAGTACCTTATGGATTGTATTTTGAAAGCACACTCGATGAGGACGAAAAAATAAGAGACATGGCAAAGACAAAGACAATGACACGACATTACAGAATGCGACCAAAGATCAAAGAGGTTACGTTATACGGATAAACAATGCAATTATACATTTTCAAGAAAAAAAAAAGAGTCAAATGTCAGTGGCTGCTTATACAGATAGGCCAACGGATAGTCTGCCATAACAATAACATAGCAGTGACATAGGAAGGAACCGATCAATTTCAATGTGGAGAATTATATCGATTAGGCTATGTCAACAATATCTTTAATAACATGAAAAAGATCTGTCATCAACTGAGCCTCCAACTTACCCGACAAACCGATTTTGTCCTAAAATACATCGTGATTTTGGCGTAATTAAAACGCCGCCTATAACCTCATCGGACCATCGCGTCCAACATTTATGACTTCGACCTAATTATAGCGTACTTACAGTTCGGATTTGTCATTATTGTAGACGAATATCAATGCGGTTCAACTACTTCTCGGCCACCGGTTAAAAGAAACAAAAAATATCATGAATCAAACATCTGGGTAAATCGATGTTTGACCGAAATTGTTATTCTTTACGGCGGGAAGTAGAAATATGTCAGTAAAGTTCACTTTTACTTGTCATGAGAATTGAATACAATATACAGTACATTCCAGTTTCGGTCGATTTATCTTGATTCACGTCTAATGAAAGAGGCCCTGTTATTTAGGGGTAGACATGGATCCTCTGAAATGAGTGTTTCAAATTTATTTTTTAACAGCAACTGTTATGTCATGTTATTTAAAAAAAAGAAATAGTGTGTCGTACGTCAGATTTTAACAAGCCCTGAGAGGGCATGTGTCTCCTTTGAAGGGTGTTAACATTGTTGCTATTACATAAACATATTTGATATTTTTATGTTATATTGTTAAATTCTGACTGAGAGAGGCTGGAGTAGTGAGGATATGTAGGTGCAGGAAATTCCATGAATATAGTCAACTTGTCAATGGTCAACATAATAAAATTAGAACTGTGTTGGGAATTCTTAAGAACACTCTAGAGATCTACAATTTACAAGAAATAAATTCTAGTATGTCAGATTTGAAAATACAGATGCCATCGAATTTCAATTAGTGGCATATTTTATTTGCGGCTGCCACACACAATAAATATGTTAAAACGTCGGACCATTTTCATAGCCGGTTCATTATTTACAATCATGTTTGCCATAATCGAATATTAACATTTGTTCTAAATTGTCAATCTATTATTGATATGAAAATATTATCGTCTACTTGAATGTTCTAGTTTGATCGATAATCGATATTAGGGCTAGGCCTATATCAATTTTCTTTTTAGTAAGATAGGATATCATCACAATTTCATTAAATTGTATTTTTTAAAATTTATTTAACGGGCACCACATTTGCGACGCTTTTCTTGTTCGTGCTTGTCCCATCTTTTTACCTTATTAAACTTAAATGCATCTTTGTCAACATTGATTTTAATCGTCGATATTAATTGAATTAAATCCTTGATTTAAGGATGAGGTCTACTAATTATAAACAGACTTATACCATCATGATGAAATATCTTGGGTGGCCATGTTTTAGTCTAAATATACAGGAATAAAGTTGTATGTAGACAGCCGTTTATAAACTAACAAACATTTACTGGGAATAAACACGAGCTTGTCGTTCATGCCACAAACGTTTTATATCACATAAATGTACTGATCACCTTTATCCCAAGGGCCTACAGACTCATGTTATCTCCATAAACTATGCTTTAATTGACAATTAAGAAACAAAATAATACATACAGATAGCCAGAAATAAACAAACACATATCAGCGCATGGCAATAACATAGGTCAATCAATTCCTGCATGGAGGTATCTAGATGTCATAAATTTAAGACTACTTGTCTAGCGTATTCGGTCCGTGTGAACTTCTGTACTTTTCTGTCTTGGACTATGTGACCCGCGAATTCCTATCTCGCTTCCAGCACATACTATCATGACAATGAATTATTAGTCATACAAGCCTGTTATAATAATCAGTTAATAAAAAGAGTAATAAACACTTATACCGATTATTATGAACGTTGTGTTGTTAAACTTTCACCTTCGTCGTGGTTATGCTGGGCCACTAAGTAACTATTTTATTTTTCTTCATATTTAACTATCTTTTTTGTTTTAGGCAACCTGGTATTCACAACTCGTACAAATGTTGCTTTTTTTCTTTTTTTTTTTCTTTCTTTTTTGGAGGAGTACCCTGCTGATTGATGCAGTCCTGCCGTTTTTGTATGGGCGGCCGTTAGGACCACTCAAATCACTGGGCTAATTTATTAGTCGTAGTTTGTGTTGGCGACCGTTAGGGCCACTAGAATCTCATCGAAGCTTCGAGATTACGAAAACTTGTTTACTTACAAAAGTACAAGTAGGCCTACATTGTGTTTATGAGAATTCAACTTAACTGTGTTGGGTGGTGGAATAGTGATTTTATTTAAAGACTCTAGATCCAAAAACAAATTTCTATACTTTCTTAAATTTCTATTCTTACATCGGAATTTTCAGATAATACTCAACAAAAATAAGCTACCGCAAACTGTGTTTAGCTGATAAACTATTACATTCGAACTGCTTACGTTTTATGTAAGATTATTTGCTTTAATAAAAATAATCAGAACGACTAATTATTTTCCTCTGCATTAACAGACGTATATCCCGATTCTATTATTTTATGATATGGGGGAGGGGGATAAAATGACAACTGCACACCATACCGGATTTTTTTTTTAGTAAAAAATCTAATTCAGAGAAACATGTTTTCGACTGATCTGTAGTGTCTTAAGCCGAGCGCTTACTGTGCCTGACGGTGGTTGGCAGACACGATTCTACGGAGAACACAAAGCCACGACGCGATCTTGTATTTAATGACGATCCGTTCAGACTGCCTCCGACAATTAGCAGACGGCGTCGTGTCGTATAGCGCTCACAGAAAGCGGAGTTGTTGGATTTTTCGTAAGACCATATAGTAAGAGGGTCGCACGATGCAGTGAGTGGAGTTTTATTTTTTTGTAATTACTTATTTGATCCTACGAGCAATATAATGGTTCAATTGACTGTTTGAAGGTTATACCTACAGTTACGTCTACGTTTCAAAGAGCTTTCTTTTTGGCTTTTATATTGAGATGCTTATTAATGTCGTCTACGCTATTCTCTGTTTTTAGAATTACTAATTTAACGTAGTACCCACCCAGTTCACAGCAGGGACTGGAAAAATAAATGGACGGCGCCATAGATCTCATTTCGTGATAGAATAATACATATTTAATAAAAACAACCAAATTTAGCATCCTAAAAACTTTATAAAATATAGGCCATAGAGAATTTGGAAGAGCCAGAATCAGCGCATGGAAACGAAAAAAAAAATCAGTCAGGACCAAAATGGATTACATATAGACAGAAAATACCGTATTCAACAACAAAATGATGAATTCATTTTGGGATCTCATGAGAGAGACAAAGTAACACAATGAAAACGTCATCACATTGAAGTTCACGTTGTTTGCCAGTGGACTATCCTCTCAGATAACGGGATGTGTTAGAGTTTAAAAAAATTAATTAATGTGGCATTGACAATGGAGATATAGAACCTCACATTGTGATAGTGACAACCGTGCTGATGACGCAAGCCCGTTGACGTGTTAAAATCAACTGTCTTTAGCTGAAATTCAAAAGCAATAAAATTAAAGGCTAATTTATTGTCTGTGTGTTGAACCTTGAAAGAGTGTTTATTACAAGTTATTGATAGAGCAAGTACTATTTATTGCTCCTTCTAACATATTACGACCATAAAACTTTATCTGTCTTCAGGCCCATCCCTGCCCACAGTACACTGACTTGCCACACAGCCTACGGTATACGATTCTTAAAAGGTAAATGCGCCGTTCCGCTCCTGGTCCCGTTTTGATTGGTCAGTTATTAAATTTGATTGACACTCAAAAGAGGTCCATTAAATCTGAACTCTTAATCTCTGTACATCTATAAATCAACAATGAAAAATGTAAGTATCTGTACTGCATTAGCATAATTATCATATCAAAAAATTGCAGATAAAATATTGTTTTTTAAAGTGATTAAATAGTTTGTCACAAAAAAGCACAAAGTTCCAAGAGAATTAGGGGTAGAGTGAACAATTTTTTTTAAAACTTTCTTTTTACTGCCAAAACTGATTTTGAAACGGCAACCAAGATGGCAACCAACTTTTTTTTTTATCGAAATTTTGTACCTGCCGTGGTAATACTGATAACGCTATAATATTTCGTCGAATAAGATACGACGACGAAGTCGCACCTACCAACTCAAAATACAGGAAGATACTGAAACAGATTATATGCAATATTTGCTAAAATATTCTTTTTATTCCTCAACATATATACATACAGTGTACGTAAAAAATATAGTTTGCATAATTATTATTAAAACCAATTGACACATTTGCACTTTGTCTATTCTGTGTATGGCATATAAAGTATATGTGTATATATACATTTTATATATATAAACATTTAAATATATATCATTTACATATATATTTATATATGTAAGCACACACACACACATATTTATATATATATATATATATATATATATATAAAACACATGTATGTTTTTATATATGCATATAATCTGTCTCTTATACACATCTAGATGTGTATAAGAGACAGCTCGTACAAATGTTGCTTTTTTTCTTTGAGAAAAAAAAATGTAATGTATTTTCTACATATTAGTAGACTCTACAATCGAATAAGCCTTTGAAACCCCTAAATTGTCAAAATTTTCGGGTGCTTTGGCCCCTGCACCACTTTCGAAACCTTCCTTTTAATCGTAGCTCGGCCACGCCCACTTTGCTTTCGTCGGGGAAATGTGACCCCTCGTTAGGGCATCACGCCCCCCCCCCTCCGTCGGGCAAATCCTGGAGCCACCCCTGAAGTGCGTCATGAACTTAAACATGAAGCCGGGCACTGCATCGCAAGACCCTCATCACAACAATCCAACTCCGTGTCTTGATTGTTGGAGGCAGTCTGGCACAGTGAGTGTCCGGCTATACACAGCTAACACAAATACTATGGTAAAACATACACATCCTACATTCAAAAGCACATTCACATGGCAATCCAAAACACACTCAAAAAAACAAACATCTCACATGCAGGTATTAACATACGAGGACATTTATAAAACGTGAAAAAAGGAAGAATATAATTATAGATAAAAGCACCTAGAGAGGCTTGCGTCTCCTGCTTTAAGAAATTTAGAAGGGAAATATTTTGGGGATAATCATCACAAGCACTGAGGTAGAAAAATAATTCAATATTGTGTAACATTGTAGGCCTGAGTTGAGTAAAAAAGTACTGTATGGCCACATAATAATTAAAAACGTACTGTCTGCCAAAAACAACACAATAATAGAACTCCTATCATTTAATGAAATCATTATGTACCTTTAAAATAATACGGCAACGTATTTAATGTATATTAACAATTGAAAATAGTACTGTACTATATTGGCACTGTAGCTCCAAAAATTTGATGGTATTGAGTTTCTGAAAGACACCATGATATTTCTTCATGGCTCCACTCATTATGCTTCACTTTTTAATCTTTGTAAATGTTTTTATGATGCCATATAAAGAAACCATATCAAATAATTGGACATACATTATACGTGACTGATTCAGGAATTCAAAATAGAGTCACCTAGTATTAGAATTTTACACAAAGGTTCCATTCTACCTCAGCCCCACCATTGTTAGAACTAAGGTACAAAATGTTACATCTAGGACACCTCTACATAGACGATACTGGGACTCTCAAACTTCAATTTGAATGTCTAATTATTTTTTTTTCAAATTTTCAACATTTAGTGGGGGCCCGGTCAATTTGGCTCCCCCTTGAATCTGCCTCTGCAAAATAAAATATCCCTACATTGTTTTATGTCATTAGCAAATGTACTTGAATGTAAAGAAAATTTTAAAACTCAATGGAAATGAAGGCTGCTGTAGTTCAGTTATTAAATATGTTTGGTGAAGGATAAAAAAAAAACCTGAAAAAATACCCAATTTTGGAATTGCTTATGTTGTAGTTTGCATTGTGTTTTTTCTTATGTGAGTATGGATAGTTTTTCGAAAATATCTTTTCTGTAACTGAGTTTTACTTGATCTGATATTGCAGCCTACACTCATGCGAATATTTTCTTGCATTGTACACTTAAGCAAACCTTGTGCAAGTCATGTAAGGAATATTTTTAAAATTAGCTCTAAAAGTACCAACATTGACAAAAAAACAATCTTGACACTTTTCATGCTCAAATTGGTATTGTTTGCTATCCTTAAAGGTGAGCTACTGTTACGTTTGAACATAAATAAAAAAGTTTAAAAAAAAACATTATTGCATTTTTAAAGGAAGTAATCAATCATAGTAATATTCTTTGTGAAAATCTTTAGTTAAATTTGCTATATAATAATCATCATTCGTTCGTTCGTATGATATCAATTGATATCTACCTGCTGTTATTAATTTGGCTGGAATAGTCGTACCAGGGTTAACAGCATGACCCTCCAATTTATACTCCTGGGTGTTTAGAGAGGCAAACGTAAGTAAAGTGTCTTGCCCAAAGATACAAGCAGTGCGGCGAACGTTGGTCTTACACGTTGGCCACACGCTCCCATGAAGCGTGTGTTCGTAATTATGTCCGTAAATGAAAACAACTATAATATAGTTGTTTTCATTTCATTATGTTACTAAAGCAAAATTATGATGCTTTACATTATTTATTATTATTATTATTATTATCATCATCATGAGAATGCTATTTCTCTTACACTATGAATACCACGCTTTAAAAATAAGAGTTCATTTAAGTTATAATATTTTTTTACTATTTGAGTTTAGTACCCCTCATTCTCCTTATTTTTATTTTTATTAAAATATTATACCAAATAATTTTTTTGTTTAATTTATTATAAATAACTGATAAAAACTGGCTTGTTACTGATAACATTAAGGCACATCATTTAAAATCCATATACCATCCAAAGTGGTCTACCAGAGACATTGATCACAAACTTTTAAAGTGTGAAACATTAACTTAATATTCTACATGTTTGAGCTTTTCTAATTCCTTGACCCCTAAAATCCCCTAAAAATCAATTCTAAGCATAGTGTATCTAGGGGTACTGAAGTAGGGGAAAGGGGGCTGATGGGGCACAAAGATGATAAAGTGAGGGGGTGCAAGCTGGTGGTATGAGGTGATTCTTAACTACTTCAGCGTAATTTTTGTTTTGCTTAAAAAATTTCGAGTGGAGTAGCGACTGGAGGTGTGTAAGCTTTCTTGGGAAGGTGATTGCACTTCCCCCACCCCCGCACATCCGCATAGATATGCCACTGATTCAATGGAAATCTTCCTTTATCACTCCTCACGATTGCCTTGCATTATCCAGTGTTCAATACTCTAAAGTACTGACACACGGCTATTGTAGCACCATTCTCATATCATTTCTTATATTACTTGGAATTAAAAAATTTAAAAATATTGTTTAAAAATATGTACATATATATATAATATTATTATATATCAAACTCATATTTTGCCTTGGAAATGCTTCACCATGTTGTATATCGTCACAATCAGCCCACTGAGGCCTCCAAGAATTCCAAACAATATCAAAAATATATTTTTAGCGAACACTAGCCTTGATATATCCTGGCCAGCCAACTTGATGCTGATTACTGCGGGCAAGATGTATGCCAATAAAGTGCTTCCGATTGAGCCTACAAGTAAAAATAAAAATTAGATAAAACAATCGCAAAAAATCCACACAAAAACTTTGAAATCAATCACTTTTATTTCTCTAATTTTATCTGAAAAGGGGGCAGCTTAGCTCGGTTAGATTTAATTTGGGCGAGTCGAGTGGCCGAGCGGTAAGGCAGGGCTAGTTACAGCCTTAACGTCGGCGTTGGTTCCAGCCGCTCCTTGCCCATGGTTCAGTTGGTTGTCTTCTCAGTCTTCTCAGATAAGGAATTAAAATGGAGGTCCAGTGTATACATCTGGCTCGTGTGCACTTTAAAGAACTCATTGCACCATTTGGAAGAGTAGAGGGTTTACCCAAATGTTATGGTTTATTTTAGCCTGTTGTTGCTGAATGATGTAAACATGTGGCTACCATATAGCGCCTCTTTACATAAATCTTACCATTAATTGCATTGATGTAGACAAACTGGTCTTTGAAGACAATTGCAAGTCCTGTCTGTATCAGTACAACAGAAACCCGAACAATGTTCCTCTTCCATGAAGCAACCTATAATATATAAAATAATTCATGAAAAGTTACATTAAATGTTTGTGGAGCTAAATCTATAGATAGTTTTTTCCCCTTCTCCTTTTTGATCATTCACACTGTAATGACTTAGTGAGTTCTGTTTAATGTTTCCCTGTTTAACCATTGTATTAATGACAGGCAGTCTTGTCTCCGATTTTACTGGTTTTGAACAATTTAAAAGCTCCATCCGCACTATCAAATTCGATATGACAATTAAATGTGATATGCCCATATTTGGCTTTAATATGACATCATCATGCCCATATATGGCCACATCACACAAAATTTGCACATAAAATGTGATAGCATTTACAGAGCTTTAGACATATGGACATAATCAACAAAGAGTATAGAACTGCAACAAGAGGTCCAACTCTCAGGGTTTCATTGGAACATAATCCAATTAAAAAAAATACTGCTGTGAGCTAGAGGGTGTCCTTCAAATGGGAACTCTATTCGAAATCTAATTGGGCGCACCCAGTGGCGTATCTAAAAGTCTTGCAGTGGAGGTGCTCATGGGGGGGGGGGGGTTTTGTAGGTGATATGTGGGGGGCTCGATAATCAGTTGAGGGGCGCTAACATGCAAAATAAGGCATTTTAGGTAATTTTTAACTACCTGTACTTCACCATAATCATTTTTGGCAGGGGGGAGGGGCGCAACTAATTTTTGGAGGGGCATGCGCCCCCTGCGTACCCCCTAGATACGCCACTGGAGGAACCCGATCTTGTGGTATTGTAGTAATTTTTTTAAACATTGCATTGTGTGCTTACAAAATCAGGGCAGTCGGCCTCTTGCAATTCTTTAATCTTTGATACCATGGAGTCCTCATCAGGATTCAAAGCAAGGTATTGATGCAACAAATGTGATTTGCATTCTGAACTGTAAAGGTTAAGGTTCAAATCTAAATGCCTGCCAAAAATAGGTACCTGGTAGAATATAGATATTCTATGTAAATGGATTCGGTCTGCACTGAATATTTGTAAAAACCAAGGGTACAGCACACGATATGGACCATAGGAGGCTGCACATTGTGTACCATGGTTTTCAAAAGACAGTTCCTTAACTGCACTGTTGTAGAATTAAAAAAATATTAAGCAAATTATAAATAATTAGTAAAAGAAAGGTACTTACTGATTCAGGCACACTCTTTGCAACTGGTAATAAATCTGATATTTCAATCTCCTCAGTGGACAAACTAACCGACGATAGTAAAGGAGCACGCTCATTATCATTATCACAATTGACAACAAGTGTATTTAAGGACTGTCCAAATATTCTTCCTAAAAAAAAAAAAAAAAAAAAAAAAATAACAGAAAATAATATTATCATTATTATATAATATTGTTCAAGATTTATATAGTCAATTTATAGAGCACCGAAAGATGCCAAGCAATTTCAATCTTAAAATCCTTTTGTTAAGGCATGATTCTTTCTATACCTTTTTTCGGGCTTGTTTTGTAAATTTTTTTTTTTTTGTCAAAGGTGGGCAGAAAAAAAAAATAAAAATGAAATATCGTTTTCTTATTTAGCAAATGGTCTTGTTAAAAACATCCACACGAAGGAGAAAATAAAAGTAAAATTTTATTGTTGAATGTAAACAGTGTAGTAATGGGAAGGTTAAATGCTTTAAGAAAAAATATACATATCTTATTTTTGGAGATTTCAATGCGGCGGAGGGCGTAATAAAAATAAAGAAAATGATATATTTTTTCTAAAATTTACATTTTTTCGTGACGTTTTCTAAAATGTTAATTTTATTCTAAAAATCATCATTATTGGCGTCCAGCGAGTTCGCTAAACAAGGGAAAAAAGTCTTGCCATTGGATCAATATTTGAAAATGTTCACAATGTGTAACATTCTCTACTCCTTGTAAATAGGGAATTTTCCAACTGGTTACTGGAAGACTCTTTGTACAGTCTTCTGACGACTGTTAGGTGCAGTGTATAGTGCTTTAGTACGGCGCATCTTTGGGAAAGCCACTTTAATTAGAAAGTGACGCTTTTATTAAATTATTAAATTGTTATTATATTGCTGAAATGGTTGTGTTGTTTTGTACATAAGACTGGCGCTTACCAAGAAAAATCATCTTTGATCAACACTTACTGTATTTGACCATTTACAGTACCGTTTCTACTATTCAAGGTATGCAAATGTTGTTGGCTTCCAAGCCCTACAGAATGGATTTAGAATGAGTGTTTTATATATAAAAATAAACAAACAAAAGAGTTACCTTCAGTAAATAGAATATTTTCCAGAATCTCAATAATCGGGTAGACTGTAATAGGGTAAGTAAAAGCGACACCAATGCAGATTGTTACGTTGACTATGTAGGAAGTGATTGAACCTGAAGGAAGATTTTGGATTAGAATCTGTTCTACGTCGCTTCCGTATTTCAAGTATCCCAGAATTCCAAGTGAGCATAACATTGTGAATAACAGAAGCAAAGATCCATGAAGAAATGCTGGGTATTTTGGTCGATTCTCAGCCATACTAGACTCAATTGGAATTATCTGAAAACCATAATTTTACATTATATTTATATTTTTATATAATATATAAATACATATTTATAATAAATTAGAAGAAAACATGATAAAAATATAAGCAATGTTAAGTAACTTTAATAAAATAAGAAAGTAATAATAAACAATTAAGTGATAATATTAATAATACTATTACTAAATAATACTGTACTGTATTGTAAGCCAGGCCTGGAAAAAATGTTTGTGCCTCCAAGCATGTTATACACTAATACAACCCAAAAGTTTATATTTTTTAATTTTTTCCCTCAAAAAAATGCCTCCTGGACATTTATGATGCCTCCAACCGCCGTTCACGCACCTTTTCCAGCCCTGTTGAGAGCATTTACTAATACTAATTTTAAGGGGTTCTACTGCAGTTGTACTCACAGTTCCAATGCCCTCATATGCACAAGAGACAGCGCCAAAAAAGACAGGAAATGTTGCAATCGCAAAATATTTAACATCTGGATCTACTGCAAAATCTAGTATAGAGAAAAATCATTTGAATGTTAAAACCATTTTACAGTAACTATGTTTATATTAAGAAATTACATTCAATTATTGTCATCATTTATTACAGTATTAAACTATTATTACAATTACTATAGTAATATCATTATCATTAGAAAAATATCAAATAATAGGTTATTTATTTTTAGCACTATAATTTCTTTTAAATAACAATATTATATTAGGGCTGCACATATAATTAGATATAATCATTGTTAAGGTATTCTTTTCTTTTCATTTTATGGTATCCCTTTTACACTATCAGCAGGACTCCGAAGTAAAGGTTTCAAACACCAGAGTTGGGGTTGGTGTAAATGGGTGAATGACAATGACTCCGGTGTGCTGAACCCTAGCTCAATGAAGCTGAATGTTTTCAGGAGAAGCTTCTCCGGGATAGTCCCGTTGATATCGGAACACAAGGGACTGTTAAAAACCGGGATTTTAATCATCCATTTTCATTAAATTATTCTTTTTTTTTTGTATTAATATAACTATTTGTATATTTTGAATGTATTTAGTTAAAAATAATAAACATAATGCAAGTTATATTTTATTGTTTTGGACTGTATTTTTGTTTAGAAATTAATTTGGTTTTTAGTGTACAAATAAATTATAATGTTTTCCCCCTGCGAAACTAAACTTGATTGCAGACTATGAGCTAGCCAATGTAGCCTAGGTTCCTGCCAACCGTGAGTGTCAGCAGCTCGGTTTGTTATGATGAATCATAATGTCCATAGAGGGCAGCATTCAACACCGGTGCTCAGCCGGTGTCAACTGTAAATGGGTGCGATCCGAGATCATACTGCAATCAGTGATCCTGGTTCCTCTGCTTGTGTTGTGTTTTGATTTTTGGTTCCAAGGTTAGTTTAGGATAGATCCTGGTTTAGTTTTTCACCCTTTTTTCTTTTCGGTTCTCTCAGCGCATACAGACCTCAGTATTACAGTTGACTGAGAGGATATATAGACAGCCAACTGGGAAGAGAGATTTTTAAATCACTTACCTTTAACTAAAGTAACCAGGACAACGCCATATCCCACAAAGATACTGATGTTCGCCACCACACTTATTGGTCCCATGTTCCTCACATTGCGTAACAAGACAAACAGTAAAAACAATGGCAAAGGAAATAAAACTAAAATCGCGAAAACTGGAGCTGTAGTCACTCTAGCATTTTTATTTACATGAACAATTGAATTGTTTTGCGAGTTATCAAACAGATTATATTGCTTTGTATTCACTAGAGCCTTTGAAGTTTCATTCACAAATGGAAACAAATCAGTTTGTAAAGTGTTGCCGAGAAAAATCATATATGCTATACAAAAAAAGAACTGCGTAAAGAACAGGGCAAAGTTGACTAGATATAGGCCCCATTTTCCAATAGCCTTCCTAGCGATGTCCCCGTATGTGAGATGCTTCTCCAATCTTTTTCGTAATCGTCCTATTCTCGGAGAGGCTACATCAGTTATCCCTTCTCTGGTGAGAAACTCGGAGATGATTTGGTTCACAACGATATATTTACATTTGACAATGAGTTGACAACAATGGTCTGTTACCATGGTAATAACTAGTAAACCTATAACACCGAGCTGGAAGAACAATGTACAAAATTTGTTTTACTATCAATGATTTTAGAATACAAATTTAATCAAAAATATTAGTTTAATGAACATCTACAAAAACAGAATGCATACCTCTGCCGGGTGCCTAAATACAGTACCCAAAAATACGCAAGCCCTGTATGATGGGCGAAACTGCAGCATACCCTCAATGGAACAATGGTATTGCCCATCGTATTCAGGCATATTACTGTATTTTCTTGAGTGCTGCCTGAATATTAAGGATGATTCCCATATTTTCTTGCCGGTTTTCCCTCCCACCCTGTCAGACAGCTTAGACATTCCATCAGACATACTGTAGGGGTCACCAAGAAGAAAGAAACCACTTCTAGGTCAGAGGTTAAATGAGCTTTCTTTCAACACTTTTAATTGTATTTTTCGGCGTGTGGTGATACCCATCAGCACTGATTTCCAGCAGACAATTGATAATACTGTAGCAAAAAACATCAATTTTTTTGTGTGAGATGGTTTATTTTTCAGAAGATTCTTGCTTGCTTGCTTGCTGGCAGGCGGGAGGGCATCCTGATTTCCCAGTTCAGGGGGACTCCTGTTACCTGCTGGAGACTAATAGGTATCTGAATATTTGAGTAAGGTGCATGCAATACTTACTATGAGCCCACTCTGTTCAAAGGCAAATGCAAGAGCCAAGTAATTTGTTCCAATAAAAGCTTTGAAAACGTTGGCAAAATCTATCACATTCTGAACAAATTTATTGCTCCTGCTATAGAAGAAAAATGAAAAAAAAAAAGATAAATTAGGAAAAACTCCATTTTAAAAATGTTCAGTTTAGTATTAAACATAACTTCACTTATTATGTATTTTCCATAATAACTCCAAATCTAACAAATTGTACAGTATACCCATATATTTATTATTGAGACTAATTTAACAGCTTTTCAAAGCACAATATTTGATTGCGTGAACATATTTTCCTAGCTATATTGATTTTTCTCATCTGATAAATTGAGATAAACTGTTCAACATCAACTAAAAATAGATGACTGTCATAACGACGAAATTTGTGATACTTAATAATAAAAATATAATGGAATGTGTTCATTTATAGGGTCTTCGATGTAACAAAACTTGAATTAAAAGGTATTAAATTGCTGCTTAGAGGTTTATAAATACAATATGTTCAACTTAAATAAAACTGAAAACTATTGATATTATAATTTACAACAATTTGATCACTGAGATTTCTACTATCATATTTCGATGTTATTGTAGTGGGACTTGATATAGTGCATTATACGGAAGTCACAGTGCACTCAAAAAGAACAGATATTGAAGTATATGTGGTGATGAAATACCCTACACCACTCCTATTGTAAACAACAAATATGATGAAATCCAAGGGAACAGACTGAGCAGGAAAAATAAACATCTCAGCAGGGGTGTCCCCTCAATAGGAGTTAGCTGTAGAATTGAAATAAATTATGATGATACTTCTCTTTATTTCACAGAAATGTGTCCACATAAAATTGGTGTCCTCGGAATAGGGGTGTCTCAAAGGAGGGGTTTGTACTGTAAAAAGATTTTATCATTAATGATGTTGAAATTAACAATGAGCCAATGAGCTAGAAGAAAGTGAAACACAGCATTGTGCATACTTTGTTTAGATTTGTTCAAGGACGTTAGTCAGCATGTTAGCAAATTACTAAAAGAAAGACAATGTTCACTTTGTATAGGCTGGATTTCTGAGTAAATATACTGGTAATGATCAAAAGCATATTAAAAAGTTAACAAAGATTGAACAGGCTCTGTAGAATTATCCTGCAGTATGATAAATACAGTAAACTACACAATATACAGTATATTTATAACTTTTTAAAGATTTTAAGCATTTCATCACATTGTCTCCTGACTGGAAAATTTAAAGTGCTTTACTCTTGCAAGAAAGTATAATACATACTCCAAGTATTGAAATACACGCCATCGTGTTGGGATTCAATATTTCGACATTAATTATGTCATCATCAGGAATGATGATAATTAATGATGATATGTCATCATCATTCCTGATGATGACATAATTAATGTCGAAATATTGAATCCCAACACGATGGCTTGTATTTCAATACTTCGAGTATGTATTATACTTTCTTATCTGAGATTAATCAGTGGACCTTTCGGTTTTTACTCTTGCAAAGATTGCAAAATGTAGTTTTGAATGATTTTTGTTGCCCTTTGCTTTCAACAGAATATCATTCATCTATTAAATATTGTAGCCGTGGTCTTTTCAAAGTAATTCAGATAATTTTTTTTATACATTGGTAGACTGCCCTTTTTAATGACATTTTTAAACAAATAAAGTACTTGTACATGAAACAGCACTGAGGTCCAGAAAAGGCCTGTGAAATCTGTGTTCTTTTTGTGAACACTTTTTCAGGGAAAATGACTCACTCAAACAGATACAAAGAATACAAACTGCAACCACAAACCAACAAATTTACTTTACAAATCAGGGCTCTATTTTTGTATGCTACAGTACTGTACTGTATACCAGACACCTCAAGTTGGCAAAATCCATTTCAGTTAAACCAAAACACAAAATTACTTAGTAATTGGAAATTTTTAGTAGTAACGTGTAACAAGCAGCTTTAGCTCAGTCAGCTAATTTGGTGGGAGCCACTGTGTGTGCACTGAACCGTGGAGATCTCAAGGTCCCCTACGGGGCGCTTATGAAAACAGAGTGGAAATTGAGGGGGCGCGTTAATGGAAATAGATGAAAATTGAAGGAGTGCTTATGGGAAATTGGAATATTCAAGGGGCACTTTTTTTTTAAATCGAAGATAAAAGCGATGGTTTTGGTGAAGAAAAGGTAATCGTCGAGAGAGAACTCATGAAAAGAATGTTGGGGTAGGCCTACACAACAGCAGATGAAATTAATTACTAGGCCTATTAGTAATAGTGGTGGTGTTGGTATAGCGTGTTGGGGGTGACTTTACAAGGGGGCGACTTGACTGGTATTCGTAATAATAATATACATACTCAATTATCGAAATGCACCATCGTGTCGGGATTCAATATTTCGACATTAGGCCTAGCCTAGGGTAGGTATGTCATTAGGCCTACTAGGATAGGCCTCCTATTATATATCATTACAGTACATTTTTACTCATTAGGCCTACTGTTTACATTGTCTTTGACATTCATTGTTTATTATGTATATTAATTAGTATATTATACTGCCAGCTATATGATATCTGTGATTGAATCATATCATCATATATGCCTACGTAAAGTACACATACACTTACCTTAGTCTTTTCACCGTTCTACCTGCCATGATGGTACCTTTTTAGCAGTCCCCTTTATCATTTATGGCCATATAATACTTTATGTTATCCCGTGACCTGTGATGATCGGAAATTTCCATTTCATATCCGTGCCGCCTTTGATCTCGCAGGCCCGACTGTCATCAAAGAGCTGAACTTCAACCTTTGAACTGTCTGTGTCGTTTTCATACTTCAATGAATTCGACAACATGCGTATTTGGTGTTGAAGAAGACGGACGAACTTGAATGAATATTTGTGGCATAAGTGTACTAAAACCTTAAAAAGAACACTGGTACTATTCGATAAGCTTGTATTTCGGTGTTGATAAGCTATGCTTGATACGATTATTAGCGTATGTTCCTAGGCTATAGATACAAAATATGCTAGGCCTAGGGTAGGCTAGTTAGGAAGGAGAACAGACAGGCAGGCTAGAGACTAGGGCGTAGTAGGCTAGCTAGGTAGAGGTAGGCTTCGGACGGCCTACCTAGGCCGGTAAAATGGCCTAGGGCCTAGCTAGCTAGGATAGAAAGGTGGTCTATCCTACTACCACTAAGGGGCCGCCTAGCCTAGCTAGGCCCTCTCTGATACTTCGACCATACATAGACCATATATAGGCCTACAGGTAGTTAGTAGCATATTAATATGCCAGCTACATAGATAAGGATTTGGCTAGCTAGAGAATAGGGTTCAATTTATATAACCAACAGTTTTTTTGCTCGGAGGATTAGGCCTATATACTGTATTTGAAATGCAAGCCATATATACAGTAGTCTTCATCTTTAGGTAGGCCCTGTGATGTGTGTGGATTAGGGTAGGTGGCCACTGACTCATGTCCAAATATCCTAAACTGATAAAAGTCGGTCTCAAAGTTTGCAGAACAGTTTATCTTGGATGGTATGGAGTCAAATCAACAATGGGCCAAACTGTGAAGTAAGACCTGTGCAGGGAATATATATTAATCCTCTTTGCGAAAATTAGGCCTAGAAATCTGTCGTCACATTTCAGAAATAGAGTAGGGGCCAATTTTTGTGCAGAATTTGCCGAAAATTAGGCTTTGACCTAATTTTAATACATAACCAATAATATATTAATAATTATGCAGTAGAACTACGATTTGCGCACTTATTTTCTTAGCCATTTTCCTCACAGATTGTGCTTTCGCGAGTATAATTATGTTCAGTAACATTGCTGTAGGTAGAACTTAGCAGGTATGGTGCCTCACTGACAGAGCCAGAAAATATAACTTAAAACTTCAAGTGTAACAGTTAGTTTAACTTTGCTCTAAATGATGATTTTCATGTATATTTTTAGACATTAATTTTGTCCATAGAAAACCTTAGCTTAGTATGTTCAACTTTGTATTCATAATTTTTTTTTACAGAACTTTGTTAGAAGAAGGAAACTCTTGCAATGGGTAAGAAAAACAAGAGGTCCACAGCAGACAAAGTGCGAAGGGACAAAAAATCAACAGAAAAAAAGATAAATCCTTTTGAAGTCCGGATTAATCGTCAAAAACATGTGATACTAGGTCGGAAGTCTAAGCATGACAAAGGCTTTCCAGGAATTTCAAGATCCAAAGCAAATAACAAGGTATACTGAAAAAAAAAAAAAAACTTTATAAATGATTATAATGATGATATAATGATAAAAAATACCATAATATTAATGATAAAGATGCTGATGATTTTTTTAAAAATAATTATCAGCAAAAAAAATGAAAATTTTACTTTATCCATTCTTTATTACACCCTCTGCCATATGAGGTGCCAAATGTACTTTCATTATTTAACAAAATTATATAATTGATTATTTAATATAATTCAACATTTTTTCGTTATATACATATAATTAGTTTTGCTTCCAACAATTATATATATATTTTTTTTTTTTTATATCTAAGATGCTGATGATTTTTTAAAAAATAATTATCAGCAAAAAAAATGAAAATTTTACTTTATCCATTCTTTATTACACCCTCTGCCATATGAGGTGCCAAATGTACTTTCATTATTTAACAAAATTATATAATTGATTATTTAATATAATTCAACATTTTTTCGTTATATACATATAATTAGTTTTGCTTCCAACAATTATATATATATTTTTTTTTTATTAGATCACTTTTATTTCAAATATCAAAAAATATATACAATATAAAAATATAATATAAAAATACAAAAAAATATATAAATTGTGATTTCGAAAAATAAAAGGAAACATATAAAAATAATACTCCCTAGACAAGTGGCAAAGTATATTCAAAGGAATAACACACGCAAGGGAGGGGCAGAGCCCAAACAATGACAAAAACAAAACGGACAAGAAGACAAAGAATAAAGGAAGACTGACATAATTATATACATATAATTGATTATTTAATATATAATTCAACATTTTTTCATTATATAAATATAATTAGTTTTGCTTCCAACAATTATATATAAATAATTGGTGAAGCGATTTTATAATAATATAATTTTGTTAAATAATGAAAGTACATTTAACACCTTAAGGCGCCAAATTTACTTATATGTATACAATTTTGTTAAATAGTGAAAGTACATTTGGTGCCTTAAGGCGCCAAATGTACTTGTATGTATATAATTTAGTTAAATAATGAAAGTACAGTACATTAAGTGACCTAAGGCGCCAAATGTAAAATACATATATGTATACAATTTGGTTTAATAATGAAAGTACACCTGGCGACAAAAAAAATGTATAAATTGTGAATTCGAAAAATAAAAGGAAACATATAAATACTCCCTAGACAAGTGGCAAAGTATATTCAAAGGAATAACACGCGCAAGGGAGGGGCAGAGCCCAAACAATGACAAAAACAAAACGGACAAGAAGACAAAGAACAAACTGACATAATTATATACATATAATTGATTATTTAATATATAATTCAAAATTTTTTCATTATATACATATAATTAGTTTTGCTTCCAACAATTATATATAAATAATTGGTGAAGCGATTTTATAATAATATAATTTTGTTAAATAGTGAAAGTACATTTAACAGCTTAAGGCGCCAAATTTACTTATATAGTATACAATTTTGTTAAATAGTGAAAGTACATTTGGTGCCTTAAGGCGCCAAATGTACTTGTATGTATATAATTTAGTTAAATAATGAAAGTACAGTACATTAAGTGACCTAAGGCGCCAAATGTAAAATACATATATGTATACAATTTGGTTTAATAATGAAAGTACACTTGGCGACTTCAGACTTCATATATAAATATATATATAATTTTGTTAAGGAGCAAAATGTACTTATATGTATATAATTTAGTTAAAAAATGAAAGTACATTTGGCGCCTTAAGGTGCCAAATGTACTATTACATTATACACACA